GACTCTTGGTGTTGTACATGCTTTGTCAATCCTTCAACCAACTTCCCCAGATTTGCAAGTTGTTCCTCAGTGGAAGTAGCAACAGTTACCATTGCTTGCATAATCATTGGGGATGTAGGAGAGTAACATGAATTGTCGTGCAAATTGATCTTCAATAGAATCACATTACGTGATACATGTGGAGATGATTCATTAGTTGAATCATAGTTCTCCTTTATGGTAGAGTTCTTGGAACCAAATTGCTCAAGTAGAGCTAAGGTCTTCTTGTTCGTTTCAGCAACACTGCTCATTTCTCCTAAAGTATTTGTGGAAGACCTTGATCATTTTGGAGTTGAAGACCCAAAAACATGAGTTGATGTGGACGACACTTAAAGTGTTTGTTGTCCTAGCGTAGCAACCTTGCTCCTCGTAACAGCTCCGAAACTTCCAAAGGTAACACCAAGGATTAGGGGTGGGCATTCGGTAGTTCGGTTCGGTTCGGTTTTTTTTTTTCCGATTTTTTCGGTTATTGATTTTGTTGTACCGAATTAATTCGATTCGGTTCGGCTTATTAAATTCGGTTTTTAATGTTGTAGTATTGTAGTTCGCCGGTGTTAGATTGCATTAGGTGGACGCCGTTTGCTGACAGGCAGACAACACTGGCCGACGGACGGACGCTGCAAATTGCTGGAGCCTAAGATTTTGAACGAAAAAGTAAAAAAGACAAAAAAAATTGGAACGAGAAATAAAAAATTGAAACGGACACTGCGCCTGCAACTTGGAGTTGGAAGAGGAGGTGCAGCGGGTGGGTATTGAAATTTGGAATGAAAAGTAAAAAGACAAAGTCAAAAATGAAAACTAAGGGATGCTGACCAATAGTCACTAGAAATTAGAAAATATATAATATAATATTAATAATTAAATAATATTTAAAATAGTAATGCATAAATTTCGGTAAAACCAAAAAACCGAAATACAAAAATTGTGTTACCGAAAACCGAACCGAAAAACCGAAGTAACAAAAAATGTGAACCGATACCGAACCGAAAAATAAAAAAACCGAAACCGAAAATTAAAAAATTCCGGTCCGGTTTGGTGTTCCGGTTTTTCGGTATTTATGCCCACCCCTACCAAGGATCCTTTCAACTTCAGTAGAAAGTTTAGAGTTAGTGGCTTTAGAGGCAGTTAATTGAGAGTTGACCTTTTTGGAAGTCATCTCGATATTCTTTGACTTGAAAAGTTAAGATGAGAGATAGAAATTGTCCCACTAGGCGTGCCAGAATTTGTAGACAATAAAATTTGCATCGAGAAAACAATAATAAAAAATGGTAAAGTATCGCAATAATCGTATTTATTGATTTAAAGGGCGGGTGTTACAATCTCTATGATTCATCTGAATTCGTCTTATCAAATATAGATTCAAGGGCTCTTGATCTTGAATTTGTCTTGAACTTGATCTTGAATTCAAGGGCTTTAAAACTTATTCTTGAATCTTTGATGAACTTGAACTTGAACTTTATCTTAATCTTGACTTTTACTTGAATTCAAGGGCTTCGAGCTTGTTCTTGAATTTAATGGTCTTGATCTTGATCGTTCTTGAACTTGAATTCTTAAACTTGTAGCTTATAGAGAAATCTGTGGAGTTTGTCCCACGAGCTTTCTCTAGCTTCTTGTTTAGAATTTCCTGTCTCTTTTCTAAATTATGAGGACCCCTATTTATAGTTTTAGAATAGAGGAATTGTGATTGGAACAGGATTGCCTTCGCCCAATCAGATTTAAGTGACATGACATATGGACTTTATGGAGCAGGCTTGTCATTTTTGACACATGTCATGATCCTATTGACTTCTAGTTTGACTTGACATGCCACGTCATTTGCCAAGTGACACCAAAATGGGCCTCTAGGATGAGATGAAATTGAGCTTAGCAAACTGGGCCCAAATCAATTAATTTGGATTTTAATTAAATTCATATTTATTGGACTTAAATAATAACCCAATTATATTAATCCATAATTTATTTGGACTAATATATTCATGAATTTAATATAATCCAAATCATTTTATAAATTTATATTTAATAAATTTTAAATGATTACACTATAATGTACCTCATAAAATAAAAATTAATGTAAAAAATAGCTCTAAAAACTAAAATATAGGTGTTTTCTTCACATGTTCATACAATATCTAATTTTTTTCATTCAAATACTTTAACCTTTAAATATTTATACTATTAAGTGTGGAATACACATGCAATGCATGTGTTCGAGAGAACTAATAAATTAAAAATGGTGAAAGAGGGTAAAAATTTAGAAAGTAAAATTATATTTAGGACCTATTATGGCACTTGTAGCCTAACACACCTTTTGTTGTTTGAGGTAAACCTTTCATTCACTCGGAATATTATAGAATAGAGGGAGTATTACTAAGCAATTATTTAGTAATAATTACAAATACAAATACAAAAAATTTGCAAAATCCTCACAATCTTGGAGGTCCTAATTGGGTAATAAAAGTATGTGAGGACACCATTGAAACTTCAAGAGCCATTTTTTCAGGTCAGTTTCTCCCTTAAAGATGTAAAATTTCATGTGGGTATTCTTCAAATCTGAGTTTTATAAATCTATTCAATTTATTTTGGCCATTCTTTTGTATGTGAAAGATTAATTATCTGCAAAATGTAGACTTTGATGTAGTTCTTAATCAATAGTGTTGAAATAATTCCTAGTTTTTGTCTTCATTGCTCTCTTTGCTGGTTTCTGAGGATTTCTTTTATGTACAAATTGGGTGACTCGAATTATATCTCATATTATTTGTTTTCTCGTTCAGATTTCCATTTTGAAACTATGAGTTATAGTTACTAGTTTCTGTTCCTTTTTTTTCTTTTCAAGAGTCAGCTAATGATCTTTATCTATTTCATCTTTTTTTAACTAGGGATATGTTGGGATATAGATTACTTTCTGGTGTAGTTTCTAAAGTATAAGTTTTTATTAAAAAAAAAATGAATTAATCTATGTCAGTTCAAGTCTAAAATTGATCAATATACCCTCCAAAAGAAAAGGGTACTGAATTTAGATAGGAAAAGTGTCTTGGAAACCAATGAGTAATTTGTTCGGTTTGATGATATAGCTTACTCCTGATTTTATTTGATTTTTTTCCTAAATCAATAGCGAATTTAAGTTGTTTTGAAGCGTCATTTTTTTAAGCTTCTGAGCATTCAGGTCCCATACCAATAATTATGTGATAGACCTGAGTGTAACAAGCTTCTATTCCATGTGGTTTTTTTTAGCTTTGAAAGAAAAAACATATGATGTCTTTGTCTCATCTAGTTCGATGTATTCAAGATCATGAGTTGGTTAATTTTATTTGCATTGACTTGATGTGATCCCTAAAAGCCACATTCCAAAACTTAAACCAAAAATACTGCATAAAAATTCCCAGTTAATTCGCACAATTCAAAATCAAAATTTATGCTTTTATAGTTGAAAAGTCTACTTCCCTTTCGCTTATCAGTTTGAAATTCCCAGTTGATGCACGAAATTCCAAGCTTATTACCTGAAGTTGTTTTCATTTTTCTTTCCAAGAGTTTAACTAGTCTATTTCATAAAGGAAGCTGTTGCCCATTGGTATTTGGTAAAGAAGTGAACTATTTAAGCTGTAATCTGAACTTGTAATTGCAGAATTTTGTGGTTATCAATGACTGGTTCTTCTGTCAATTACAAAGAATTTTTCATCACATGACTGGTTATTCTGGTGAATGGTTATTATGTTGAATGTGGTTAGGCAGAACGCTTTTCCCCTGATGTATCGTTACTGGCTATGTACCTATGGTTATGGTGTAGAGTTTCCCTGAATTGTTATTCTGTTGAATCTGGTGCTGAGAAGAGCTTACTAGCTGAGAGGCATGTAAAAAAAGAGAAGTGGAGACAATGTTGGTAGCAAAAAGGAGAGAACAAAATCTTCAGTACAGTAACGACCATTGAATCAAGAATAGTTTTCTAGGCTGCTAGCTATATTCTAGATATTTCTGGGTAACTGAAGAATATTCAAGTGCAACTAAAATAGGCTTAGTACATCCTTTGGTACGGTGCAATATATGTCAAAAGTAGTCAGCTTCATTGCCGTATAGTAGATGCATATAAGCTTAACACGAGGCAGCAAAATACATATAAATTATCTACAAAGCAAAATGTTAAAAATCAGCAGCAACAGAACTTTGGCTTTACACTTCTAACCAAAGATGCCAGAGAAAATGTAACACCAACTTTACACCAATAACCATCACTTAAATCACTAGCCACTTGAATAACCCACTGGCTGCAACTCACTAGGAGCTATTCCAGCCTGCACGTAACAAAAATGACTAATACTTGATCAGTAAAGCCATCTTGTAATATCAATTGACAGCAAAATAGAGTAAAAGCAGCATAAAAAATGACCATGTTTGATATCCATAATGTAAGATGAGATAAATGTATCATCTCGTCCTGTCTCTGCCTCTTAAAATTGTTGTGGAGGTGCTCACACAGAATCTATGGCTGACAGATGAAACTAGTTCTTGGAAATTGACACATCCCTTCTCACCCTCATCTCCACAACCCTCTTCCAAACTTTCAAGGTGTGACTTAGCAGCTAATAGTAATACCCACAAACTTTGGTTGTGTGGGAGTTTAGAGCTCCATGTCGGTCGTAGTATTAGCATATTCATGTAGTCTTTGGTTTTTGCTATGTGATATCATATGTGGTTTGTTGTGGTTAGGTGACTACACCTTGTTGTTATAGTTATGGTTCCTTGCATATATTCTCCACACTACTTTCCCATTAGCTGTCATGTTTTTCTTTTAATTACTACTTTGATTTGCTTGAGCCGAGGGTCATTCGGAAACACCCTCTCTGCAGTAGTGGTAAGGCTTGCATACGCTCTATCTTCCCCAAACCCCACTTTGTGGGATTTCACTGGGTTTGTTGTTGGTATTAACTTATTATTATTATTATTATTATTAGCTCTTCTAAAACCCAAACCAAACTACTCCTTAGATTCCGAACAGACATACGATATTGTTTGTTTATATTTATTTTGTACTCATTCTAGAATTTAATCATGTAGTGAAATACTCTGGATATCTCCACAATTTGCTGGTCAATGTTGCTTTGCAGTTTCTTGGATTTTAGTTGCTTGTTTGCTAATTGTCAATTTTAAAAGGTTTCTTTGTTGACTAGCTAGTATAAGCTGACTAGTCTAGTTTTTAGAATGTATTAGCAATTAGCAATTCCTCTGTTTGACCAGTTCCTATATTTGATGAGTAGCAGGACTATTTCACGGTATCTCTCCTCTCTTGCATAGCACTACAGTGGTAAAACAGAATTAGGAAGGAAGGATGCTCTCAGGTTCTGCTTTACTTATATTTCTCTTCATCCATCTTTATACATGCACCTCTTCTTATAGGGCAGAGCACCAAGAGTGTACCAGTCAATAGACAACTTCAAACTATCAAGTTATACAAGTGTCGTCTCATCCAGAGACTAATAGATTTTAGTTTAAAGAGATGTGAGGTGTTCCTCAGTGCAACATGCACCAGAAAAACAGTGTGCAAAAGAGCGTTGGACTTTTATCAAAATGCAATCATCACCCTGAAAGCTCTTCCTATTTACAAACAAAGAAACAATTGTAAACCCCAGTAGACGTGCCATTATGATGTTGGCTTTCTTTTAAGAGCTGTTATCCAGCAGCTAAATTTTTTATAAGGCCCTGCTTGTTTAATAATTTGTTTGAGTGGCATAAGAGCACATAACATTGTGTCAGATTATGTCACTATTTACTTAGTCTTAGCGATAGTTCTGTGTTTTTCAGTGTTCAACATGGGAACTCAGCTTCAACCAAGAGTAATAGGCCTTCCCAGAAGTCAAGGTAAGTGAAGGTTTGGATTATATGGACATTCTTTGCACTTATAGTATCCCCACCCTAAAAGATAATTGTAAGAAAAACACAAGAAGAAAGAGTAACACTTCTTAAGAAATAATCTGTATCTTCAGAAGATAATAAGTTGGGAATTTTGAGAACTTGGGTTCTCTTAAGAAAACACGTGATCTAAAAACCAATGAGCAATCAGCACAACTATTACTTATTCGATTTGTCCGTTTAATTTTTTCACACAAGCAAAAGAGAGAAGCCTACCAGGACCGGGATAGGAAGCTTACACCTAACAATTATTCTTGAGTTAAACTTTGGATTTTGATTGCTTGCTTGGCCACTATTTCATTTTTCTCGAGTTCGTTTTAATCTTACAGAGAAATGTTTTCCTTTTTGACCTTCTCTTATTCTAATTCTTATTAACAATATGTGGAAAGATGCAAATTTGCAATTGATCGGTGTTTTAGAAGTAACTTATTATGATTTTTCCTTGAGATTCTTATAAAACTTGTTCACAGATCTGGTTGAAGTAGAATATATTAGAAATGATACATCCAAATCTTTTTCTTATAGGTGTATTGGATGTAGAAGTATATTCTACAAATAGAGCACAACTGAGGACTTCCACCAGCAACAGATTTATGTGCACCTTAAATCAGTCAACAGGAGTCTCGGCTCAAGCAGCGCAAACAGAAAGTAGGACTTTAGTCAAAATGTGTGGAATTACATCAGCTAGAATTGCTGCTCTTGCAGCAGAAGCTGGAGCCAATTTTATTGGTATGATCATATGGCCCAACTCAAAACGCTCTGTTTCACTTTCTACTGCAAAGGAAATCTCGAAGGTTGCGTGGGAATATGGAGCTCTGCCAGTTGGGGTGTTTGTAGATGATAATGCTGACACAATACTAAGGGCGTCTGATGCAGCAGACCTTGAATTGGTGCAGGTGAGGAACTGCCATCTTTCACCATCTTGAATATATTGTTTTCAATACTCAAAATCCGCAACATGTTCAAATTGAGCAGCTTCATGGAAATGTTTCTCGAGATGCTTTTCCAGTTTTAGTCAGGGAGAGACGTTTAGTATACGTACTTCATGCAGATGAAGAGGGAGGCCTTTTGAACTCTATCTCTGATGAGGAGTCTTCTCTAGTTGATTGGATTCTAGTGGATAGTGCGAAAGGTGGCAGGTACAGTTTCTTCCTTATAGATATACCTGCCATTGGCATGGCTGGTATGCTATCATACACAGTCTCTTTTGGACTAAGCTTAATCCCACTCCATATGGAGCTAACATAATGTAATTCCATTGGGTTAGTATTATCAAACTCTTTTTTGGATTCGTTCATGCCAAAGGAAACTTGTTTTTTTTGTAACTTTAGCATGACCAAGCAACTAAGTCTAATGTGATAGGAAGTAAAACACTAACAGTGACATTGTAATGAGAGAAGAATAGCATTAGTAGCAATGAGGACACTGACCATTTTAGAGGAGATGAATTCATGATAGCTAAGGTTGAGCAAGTGTTGGACTGTAAATTATGAAATAAAATTTGTATTCACATACTTTTGCAGTGGCAAAGGATTCAACTGGGCTCAGTTTAAGCTAACATCAATTAGAAGCAAACACGGGTGGCTCTTGGCCGGAGGAATTAACCCAGACAATGTTTGTGAAGCTCTTTCTGCTCTGAAACCCAATGGAGTGGATGTCAGTAGTGGCATATGTGGACAAGACGGCATCAAAAAGGATGAGTTCCGGATACAATCATTAATGAATGCAGTGAAATCTTTACACCTCTAGTTGATTTTGAATAGCTGTGACACTATTGAGGCAAGATTCCTATTGCAGATTGTTAAATCAACTGCAATGTTGGTCCAGATCCCTTTTGTCATTGCTCTGCTGATTTGTGTAGGCTAAGACTAATATCTCATGATACATCAATTTTGTACTATTATAAAAAAAAAAACATCAATTTCTTTGTAAGAGTGCAACTTCCCTCAAGCAACTAATCAACTCATAAAGTAAGATGCTATCGGATAGGGGTTTAACCATGACCCGGACAGAGCGTCGGGATCAGTTCCTTGCATCCACTAGCCATACATTAAAAAATATTTTCACCTCACCAACCTAACATGAAAAAATAATTTAGAAATCAACTTATGTTCAAGAAAACATTTTCCTGATATTGACTAAATTAAAAGGAATCCAACCTAATGACCTATCAGGTAGATATCTGTCTGTATCATAATATTTTAGTAGAGGAATCCAAGTAGAATCGAATTTCTCTTAAGAGCATACCTTTCGTATGTACCAAGGAAGTTCATCATCGCCCCAATCTAGACCAGTAACATATCTTAGTGTATTTCTTGCTAATTTAGATTTGTAATATTTATTACATTGGTACATAAAAATAAAATTATTATACTAAATCCTTGTTTGATATCTCATGACACATCAAATTACTAGTATTAAGACGTCAACTTCTTTACAGGAGTGAAACACATGACTTGTTTGATAAAGAGTGGATATTGACTACAATGATAACAACCACATGCTATAGGCTCTTAACATGTAAAATGTTAAGTTGATTATTATTGAATGTGACATTACCTTGGTTGTTTCTTTCCCCTTTAACCACCACCCATGCCCCCTTTTTTTTTTGCCCCCCTCATGTTCTTGGGTCAAAAATAACTATTTCCTTCATAAGTGATGTTAATGGATCCATGCACAGCAACAAAAAAACAATAAAAGATGGTGGGACTGAAGTATCTTTTTGTAAATAATCATTTCAGAATCCAGAATACAGATAATATACTTTCTTGGCCAACCCAAGAGAAGAATTGAAACTTGCTCTTCTCTAATGGCAGGTAGCTAACTTTACTTTGTGCTCAACCAGTAGTGCTTATACAACCAACTTGAATGGATGGGGCATGGCCATAGTGTCAGTGAAAAAGAATCAGCTAACAGGGTTTTGCTATTTCTCAGACCCATAAAGGTTGGGATCAGTTTGATAATATACTACACTCCCTGTGTCACTCACAAAGTGATCCTCCTTCATGCTTTTTATCAGATATCCCAACAAGTAAAATGGTAGAGGCCCTGACTTCTTTGGCTCCTTATAATATTTCCCTAACACTGGTTTAGCAGCTTCCGTCTGCAAAAGAATCCATGTTATTAAGACACCAATAGAAACTATTTGGAGCAGTTTACGTAAAATGTTGTCTCATACTTACTGCTTCTACCAAATGATAGTGTGGGATTTGAGGGAAGAGATGATGTATCACATGAGTCCCTATGTCATGGTGGATGTTGTTAATCCATCCATAGTCACGATCAAGCGTTGTAAGCCCTCCTCTCAGATAACTCCATTCCTGTTTCATAAATACATATCAATTACTGAATCACCTCCCAACTTTTTTCTTCATAAAATAGGAGTAACTAACAACTATATTTTGCTTATATCTAAAAGTCAAAAACATTGAACATATTTCATTTGGCATTCTAGCTTAGTAGGAGATACTACTCCGCTAGCCAAATCAAAATTATACCTCTCCTCTGTACCAAGGAACTTTATCTTCATGGCCATGGTGATGCAAATAGGTAACTATATCCAGCCACATGACAAAGCCCTACATGTTGAATTGAATTCAGTTAATAAAATGAGTCAGCAACAACAAAAGAAGGCAAGGTTGGAAAATGGACTAACCCAATAGGGGATGCCATAAAGCTTAAGAACTTGGAGAGGACCCATGACAAAGGACAATCCCACAAGCAATGCAGCCATTGCCGTCCAGCAGACAGTTGAAGTAATCACGTCTTTCTTTTCACTTGCGACAAACAAATCACTGCTTGGATCAAAGTGAGAACCTTTCTTTCCCGGGCTTCTACCCCACTGTGATTATTGATTATTATGAGTTCCAAGTTACATCAAATTTTGTTATTGTCAATAATACATTGGATATGGACTACTAACTCACCAGATAGAAAGGATATGCCAGCAAGGGAAAGGGTAGAGTGAACCTAAATTTCTTTGTGATATCATCCAAACTATTGTAAAGCTTCTCAGATAACTGGGAGAAAAAAAAGGTAATTAAGAGGCGAAAAATAGTTTTTTGAGAAGTGA